TTACTTACTTATATATATATATATATATATATATATATATATATACACCTCAGACGCCAATGAAGAAATCCGCGTGAATGGGCCGGCTCCAACAACAAGAAACTGGCCATGTTTCGAATATTCGAACCGTTCGCCATTGAAACCGAGCGAAAATCGCGCAACTAAGACGCGGCGCGGATTGAAAGAAAAATCGCGTCGCTGCGAGGAAATCGGAAAAACTGGGACGAATGTAACGATGTGTGCGGTAAAAAGAGAACCTTGGAAGGCAGATCCTCCCTTCGTATGTGCCAAAAATTGTACGAATATTTTAACAATACGTCCTCTGTCGAAACAAATAATCGATAACGAGCTAATAAATCCAGATTCCTTATATATATATATATATATTTACCACTCAAATTTTCAGATCCGTCCATATTAACGCGAAAAAAAGAGGGAGGGAGGAGAAAGAATCCTACTAAACTCGGGTCGATCGTTCTATTCTATATCGTCCATCAGGCTTGATCCACGCGTGCACCCCCTCGCGAGAGATCTTCCTCGTTACTACGTTTTACTCTTTTCATTTTCCTCCGTCGTGGAACAAATTCGTGCTACGATTTCTGTTTACAATAGAAAGAGAGGGAGGAGGGACACGAAAGGAAGGGAAGGCCGGTCCCCCGATTGGCTGATTAACATAAAAATGCCCGTGCTCGTAAAGGGCATCGTATACATATATTACGGGCGTTATACGCGAGGGAAGGGTGTATATAGTTTGTGATTGTTATTCATATTCGGCCACGCGACCGCGCGCTTCTGCGTTGGCTCGATATAAGCGGGAAGAGGAGGAAGGGGTGGGTGCGCGCGTAGGGGTGGGTGCTTCCTTCTCAATGACACTCTTTCTTTTTCCTTTTCCTCTCTTCCTCTCTCACTCACTCTCTCTCTCTCTCTGTCTCTCTGCCGCGTTAATGCCAACGAATCGTGGCGCACAGGTTTAAACGATTACTCACCCGCGGCTCTGTCTGGAATGAAAAGGGCGAAAGTGCCACTTACCGCGCCACGGGCCTCCGAGATTCCACCTGGAACAGAAATCACGTCCTAATGAGACCGGCGGAGTTAAGCAGCAAAGTTGTAGAAATTGCCGGGAATTTGGAGCGGACGACGGGGCACAGGCCTGCCTCGTCTGCCTTTTAGAACGCGGCAGGTTTCGCGCCAAGTCAATGGCGCTAAGTTTCGCGATCAAACTTGGATTCTCTCGAACGCCTCGAACGGATAAAATCGGGCCGCTTGATTAGCGCTTCTCAACAACAACGAGAAAAATATCTGTCCATCACGATCTTCGAATCTCTCCCTCCAACGACTCGAGAATTGGAGAAAAAAAAACTTTGCTCCTTGGAAGGGAGCGAAGGGAAATCGGGAGATTGGACTGGCACGTAACCGCGTCCGGATCCACTTTCTCTAATAAACTGGAAAGTGTAGGAGGAGGCTCGCGTTCTATCGTCGTCAGGGACGTGGAGAAGTACGTGGAGAAGGACGAGCGTTTAGCAGCGGCATGCGATTTCGATCCGCGGAAGAGGAACGGGGAATCGGAAGAATAAAGGGGCGAGTACCCCGCAAAGTCACTCGACCTCCATCAGCCATCCTCTCTCTCCCTACGGGCGACTACGACCGTCTATAGCCTCTACTACATTATATTTCTTTCGTATTTGCCTCTTCTCTTTCTCTCCCCCCCTTTTCTCTCCTTCTCTCGCGGCCAAACACACAAATGGCCGCACGTACACGTGCACACAAGCTGAGCATTGCCGCGGTCTTATCGGCAGTTATCGGGCCGTGATGTCACACAATGGGGCAGACAATGCTCGGTACAATACACCCCCTGCTTCTAAACCATTCAACCCTCGCCAGCCACCTCCCGACTCATCCTCCTTCTGCTTCGGTACCACCTTCTTCTCCTTCCCCTCCTTTCATCCGGCACTCCTTTCCTTTCTTCCTCCCCCCCCCTCCCTCTCTCTCTCTGTCTGCAGGAATCAGACTCAATCTCGCCGACTCGATAAACGTTAATAGGTGATTACGGGCGCACTTAGCGGGATGCACCGATCTCAACGAGAGGTCCGTAAGGAGATACACAGGCCGAAAATTCTACGAGGATAAGAGATCAACCACGTTATCGCGTTATTGATGGTCAGAGACTCGGTTTCCATTCGGTTTCGTTGCGTTTTCTTCGTGCGAGGGCGAATCTCGCACGGGAAATAATCTATTCGTATTCGTTTATTGCTCGTAACGAATAGACGGATAACGAATCGATAACAAGGTCGAAGAGAAGAGCGGAACATCTTGGGGAAAGGATAGGAACGAAGGATGGAAGGCGGGTAGGAAAAAGGGGATCGACGACGGAGGGTGAATCTCGGCACGCACCATCGAATCGACACCACGCCCCCATACGCGGGTTCCAGTAGATCCACCCCTACGATCGCGCAATATGCTAGCCTGCGTGTAATCACCCTAAACCACGTGCACCGCGAGTCGATACACGAGCCATTGAAAAATGAGGTCAGGCGCCCATTATTTCGAGAAGTTTTCACTTTACGCGCATCCACGCGTATCGGCAGAAGGGAGGGGGAGAGGAGTGGTGGTGGTGGTGGTGGTGGTGGTGTAAACACAGTATCGTCGGGGTGAATTCGGGATGCGCGCACGGGATGGGCCAAAAAGATCCGCGTTTCATTGATCGTGAACTATCTAACGGATTGTTTTTTTTTTTTTTTTGTTACACGCACAACCGAAAAACGAGAAATAAAAACAAAAAAAAAAAGGGAAAAAAGCTACACGATTTATCGACAACAATTACAGGGTTTGAATGTTGCCAGAACCGTTTAGAGTTGTCAGACGCGAGGATATTTCGTGCCTTTATTTATATTTTTATCTTCTTTTTTTTTTATTATTTTTTTTTTATTTCCTTTTTTTTCGTATGTGTCCAGTTAAAAAATATAAATCGAAACACGCTGCTGCGAGGCTGACTGATTAAATAAAACTGGGAAACATGTATGTATAAATCAAATGGAGGCTGGGAAAATGGGAAGGAATCCCCCCATCGCCGGTAAATTTTATCGCCCGGCAATAAACCACGTCACGAAACACAATTACATCGACTGCTGACATTTCCAAGCTATGCACATCTTTCAACGTGGCCCAACGCTCGCGCCAACGAGCGCTGCGCGGCTGTTGATACCTATCTACGAAATGGCATCGGAGAAACGTTAATTAAGCGAGCAGATGCGCCCAGGAAACGGTAAATCATACAACCGACCCTACACGAGTGTAACACTCGCGGGCGTCAACCGTCTTATCTTCCTCCAGGTTATCGAGATAATGATAAATCGCTTCGTTCGAATTGCTCCCTTCCATAGGAGAGCTTTAACGACCCCGATGAAGGGTTGACGATCCGATAATGGAAGAACGGGTCGAAAGTCGCCCCTTTCAAGGGGGACATCCATCCCTAACGATACTTTTGTCATACTCTGCTCTTTGTTTCTTTTATTTTCATTTTTCTTTTTTTTTTTTTTTTTTTTTTTTTTTTTTTCTTTTTCTTCTTTCTTCTTCTTCCTA